AATATGAGCTATTAATATTATTGCCCACACAAAAAGCATGACGCCTGTATATTTGGCGACAGGTGCTCTTTGGATAATGTAGTTAGATGGTAATGCCCAAAAAAGGTAACCAAAGTTAAATATTGCCGCTACCCAAGAATATCGTTGGCCCGTTAATCCTAAGTCTTCCTTTAAAGAATAAGCAGATGCATAATTAAGGGACAATTTATCTAAAAATTGCAATGTATACGTGATGCATAAGATCGGTAATAACCTCTTATCTATCTTTCGTCTAATTTTTGAATATTCGGATTCAATCTCTTCTTCTGATAGTTCTTGAGCTTGCTCGTACAAGTCTAAACCAATGGCAGTACTTTCCACGTCTTCTCTTACAGCAGACTTCACTGATATAATTGGATGAGATGATTTCTCTGAATTTTCATTTGATTCATACTTCGCCAAATTTCTTGCTGAAGAAACGTTTTCTCCATTAAGTAACATTTTTGATAACCCCTAACCATTAAATCTTAGAACTGGAAGCAAAACATCTTTTATAGTCGACCGATATTGTCACGAATTTCATTTTTAGTATTGCTCAATACTGATATCATCTTATCACTCCGCAGAACAATCGAAAAATTTACCCCCTTTAGGGTAGTCAATCCGCGATACAATCTATTGACAATTGTTTGGTTATCTGTTTTCCAAAAGGAGGTTAGATGGATTTTGTGTAATTACGCTATTAGTGGAAGAGAAAAAAGTATCTTTTTCATCCCTATTAAACGATATGACTGGATTATCAACTAATGGTATTCATGCGTCTAATTAATTGTACAATATTCTTTATTAATTTCATAAGGATAATATTCTAATATTACAAAGATAAATTTATATAATCCATATTTTTGTACAGATATTTTAATTTGCGGATGTATGCCTCTCAAATTCCGAAAAAAATTGAGAAGCTTTTGGATAGTATTTTGGACTCATACTGTGACTAACTTCTGGTCTGGCTGCTTTTTTTGCTGCTTTGACATACTTTAATCCTAAAGTAGCAAGTATAAGTAAGGGCTATCAAGGCATATTAAATATATCCCAGGTATTATTGGGCCTTCTCCCTGCCTCCCAGACTGATAGGTTGTCGCATTAGAAGCTCCTTTCATACCATGCCAAGACATGGCTAAAGCAACAACTTCAAATTTCCCAGTACATGTTTTTGTTAATTTGATAGCATCTTCGTTTGCTTCACCTCCTGTACTTAAAAACATAGCCTTGTCTAAACCTTTTGGTAAAATTCTTGTCAATTTATGTGCCAAGTTTGCAACTATAGGGACAAACCATTCCGCTAATAAGATGGTCTAAATTAAAGGCATGTTCTGTGATAGTTTTAGATATTTCAGGAAGACTGTGACCAAGCAAACAAGACATTTACCTGATGTGAAGTCCAATATATGCTTCCCATCATGGGTACAAAGATATACTCCTTTTGCTTTCGTAACTATGATGGGTGTGAAGACACCTCCGTAAGATAATAAAGATTTAGATTTAACCAAAACTCATTTGCATCAGCTGAAGAATATAAACACATAATTTACTGTACTTTAATTCTCTCTACCATTATTATGCCTTCTCCTAATGCATACTGCTCCCTATATATACCTACCATATTCATTCGGTTTTTGATTTCCGAAATCTCCAATCGGATCTTATTATATTTCTCCACGGAAGTAACAAGCATAAGTTCCTTTACAGATTATTCTCGATGCTTTTTTTAATTTTAAAGAATATGAATTGGTTCTATAACAAGTGGACCTTCTTTGCTAACTATAGTTCAAATAATATAATTTTGTAGTTTGATAAATGAATTTATGTGCTGCGAATTACATTTGCCGAAGATTCTGCAACATTTCATGAATTACAAGAATTAAAAATAGACTAGATTATGGATAACTCTAACATTGCATAAATTCAAAGAATTCTTATATTGATCTATATTTTTTGTCGCTGAAACAATTTTTATTCAGAAGATGTGGTTCGATGGACTGCTTACTAGAATTACATAGTATTAAAGTTGAAAATTTTGATTATGAGAGAACCATAATCCATAGTGCTGAAGTGCCGTTACTGCATTGAAAGTATTAATAATACTATATTGAAATATAATCTTTATTATAAATTAAATAGCTCAAAGTTGAAATTAAGAGTAATATTTAATTTCTTTATTTAATGCAATTTCTCTCAACCCTGATAGTTACTCGACTATTTAAAGCTAAAGTTTACTTAACCAAATTTTCCACAATTTAAAAATCAAGTTATATAATGAACCTATTCTTTCTATTTCCAGTTGAGTTGATGGAAAAAACATTATCATATCTTTCTCCCGATGAACTAACATGCAAGTTTGATCTTGACAATTTAATTTATGAGAAAACATTTAGTTCATATCATCAAGTTAGACAGATTGCTTTCTCTGCTAAATACCAAGGTACACATGTGACCATTTCCAATATGAATATCAATAATTCCCTTCAGCTATCAGATTCCCAATTACGATATATAATCACAAAGGAAATGACTATAAGACCCAGAGAGATTTCCCTCGTTTTGTTCGATTGCAATAGTATTTACTCTTATACTTATATCAATTTTATGTTAAGTCACTATTTAAAGAAGCTCAAATTATTTACAAATAGATTTAATTTTCAATTAAACATATATGGTGATAATCTGATTGGTACTGAATTGTTGTTAAATGCAATATTTCAACATTTTATCTGTTGCGATTGCACCGTAAATTGGTTTGCAATTAATTATAAAACTGTGAAACAATATAACGAATTCGAAAAAAGTTTATTTTCTGAAAAGGGTTATAAGAATCCTAGTATAGAGAATTTAAAGTTGAGTCTTTTCAACTCATCAAAATTGAGGGTGTACTTTGCATATTTTAAAAATCATAATTGTCATCTATGTCATAATTTGAAAACCTTAGATCTATCGTATAATAATATTGACGATGAATTTTTGGCTAGATTATACTTTCCTCCTCTGATACAAGATCTTGATTTATCAAACAATAATATTTATACCCTATCTGATAGCTTTAATATCAGCAACTTAAACAATTTAAAAAAGTTAGATTTATCTAATAATAACTTGATTAAGATATCAATTAGCCTTGGTATGTCTTCCAAGTTAGAAGTACTAGTACTATCAGGCAACAACTTACATAATTGTAATTTCTTACATAAACCATTATTTCAAAACTTGGTGAATCTTAATTTATCGCGGAACTTGATAAGTAATCTAGCAAATCTTCCATTATCTTTAAAAATATTAGATTTGAGTGGTAATTTCTTGAGCTCTTTTTTCAACGAACAAACTATGAATGTTTTTCCGGAGTCTTTGGTGCAATTGAATTTGGCATGGTGTAAAATAGGTATTGATGATAGGCTGAATAGCATTGGTTCAAAGCCAACGTTAAAACTAGAAAATTTGCCCAGGTTAAAATCGTTGATACTTACTGGTAATCGCTATCATAATTTCTACTCTGAGCTATTGCAGGTGTGGGAATAATATAATTGATTCTTGATTTCCAACTCAAAATCATCCTTTTTAAGCTTGAATGAATTTAATAATAGTTGTCTAGAACACTTCATCGATAAGATTAGTTCTTTATTCTTATGCGTTTTGAATTTTTCAAATAGGACCAAAGCTTTTGCCATAATTCTACTTTTCTATTAGTATTATGCATAGTATAATATCTATAAAAAGAAGTGTACTCTCGGACTGATGACGGCACGAAAGCAAAGTTCAACTTTTGAATGCAAAATATAACTTCATTCAAACTGAATAAATTTCGTTATGTTCCATCTTTTTCAGAAAACCCATGTGGCTTATATAACCCTATATATTTAACTTTGCACCAACATGTTCAAGTATTTGCTTTAACTTATCATGCGATGTTAGTGACCTAGCATGTGTGTCATTTTGGAGTACATCGCGTTTCCAATCGTTGAAAACAAGTAGATGAGCCTTTGATGCTGGGTAATCGAAGAGTTCTTCCATATTTTCTAATGGTATCCTTTTAGTTTCAGGAAAGAGGAAGTAAACTCAAGGTATAGATATCATTGCCATTGATGCGAATAAGAAAAATATAACATAATCCATACCTTTAATCATATTTGTAGTGAACCGTGTCATGAAAAGACAGATAACCATAAAAACATTGACTTAACAGCTTAAAAAGATGTCCTTAAAATCACATTCCACTTATCCAAAATATATTATATAAACCTAACGCAGTACGAAATAATTTTTTAGAATGACATAAGATAAATTAAGATTCCATTTATTTCCAGTATAGTTATCAAGAATGTAAATTTTCAAAGAGCAAATTATTTATGATATAATTTCATGTATTCGTACTAAGAAATTTGCAAAGATGGATCCTTATTTTTATCTAAACCTCCTAACGTAGAGTTCTCTCAAATTGAGTTCCTAGTGATACACTTGCGTATTGTCGCATAATGAATTCCTTAATTACTCAATAAATAAAAAATAATTTAGTGGGGCATTCAATATATAACAGAATGAGAACTCAGTTATATTTAGATCTCAAGATAAGGTTTCGCTTCGCGAAAGGCATATATAAAAAAAAAATAGTTTTAGATTTCAATAGTTGGCACACTATAGACCAAGCAAAGCCTTTTTCATTGCAATAGGTGGAATATAACTTATGTATTCAATGTCTGTTGTCGTATTACCATTACCTATGTTACTCAATCCATTTTGAATTCAATTTGCATTTCCAAGGTATTGTTACCATTAGTATTTCCATTTCCTTTATCTATATTTGAGTTGCCGTTCTTAACACCATTAAAATTACCAGTATTAGAATTACGTTGACATTTCCATTACTGCTACCTATGTTGTTAACTCCATTTTTAATACCGTTCTGATTACCTATATTATTGTTACCATTCATATTTCCATTTCCACTGCCAGTTCTTGAATTCCCATTTAAATTACCATTGTAGTTTCCACTGTTGAAGTCACCGTTGCCAACACCATTGTTGTCACATAAATTATTCACGCCGTTGATATTACCGTTGCCATTACCATTGCCATTTTCACTGCCAGTGTTTAAGTTACCGTTGTTGTTGCCATTATTATTACCAACAATACCATTACCTTTTCCATTCCCACTTCCTGCGTAGCTATTTCAATTTCCTGTAAAACTATTTAAAGAAATAGAATCCCTCTTAATTTTTGTTCTTTTTTTTAAGCAATTGCTAATGATACTATACTATAAATTATAACGAATATTCCTAATTTCATTTTTAATCTATGATTAAACCTGTTAAAAAATTTGATTTCAACAAATCTTTTATTTCAGCGAATCTAGGAAAATATATATAATGTTTTTTGAACTAGGCAGATTTATTTCCTGATTGTCCTTTCATTATTAAAGGTTTTTTTAAAAAAGGGATACTAATTTAGTAAATTTAAAAGTATTCATATATCCAAAAGGTTTTATTATCATTACTATAATAAGGTAAGTTACAAAAAATATATTAATTAACAAAAAATCTTTGATATAATATTGGAAAAGGGTCACTGATCATCAAAAACGTAATGTGAGTTAGTTTATATTGTAAATATAACCAAAATGTGACTGAAGTGGTACACTTTCATCCCATAAACCTGAAAACTTTGGCATAAATAATACTCTATCATCTTCAAGAGTCTTAATATGCAACCTAACTCCATCAAGAAAGATATAAAATAAAGTAAAATATTTCAAAAATATATTACTTCAAATACGTATTTTTCGCTAGTATTTTTCAATGGTTGCGAAATTTAAAATATTTCAAATAGGAGCACTGAAAATATTAGTGCATATAATTTACGAATAGGGATCACAAGAAAATTGTGAGTTAATAATTGTCATAAGCAACATTTAGCGATACACCAAATTCAATTGATAATGAAAAAATTATACAATGCTTCATTCATTCCTCCTATATTACAGTGGACCAAATTAGGATTTAAGTCTATTAAAGAAGGGAAAACCTATGCCAAAGGAATCGAAGTCTTCAACTTAATCTAATAATACAAAAATACCAAAATTAGAAACCTTACTTGTTAAAATTATAATAATCGATAATATTGGATCACTATATAAAGTTAACTAATATTGCAAAAGTAAAAGATAATATCCACGATTTCTTATGCCTGAACCTATATATGGTTTTCCGGTAGATACAGCTTGTAATTCGATGCTAGTGCTTTCACTTCGCACAAATGAAATAGTATGGAAATGCGAATATAAAAATGGGGGACCATTATTAGCTGAACTATACCTCAAATTACTGGCTTCACTTTTAGGCTCCATCGTGAAGATACTTTGGTTCCTTCAGGCTTGTTTTCATTTGTGATTGATATTTCTGATAGAAGGGTGGTTGTGTATTCATAGGAAGATATAGTGGCACCTAACTCATTTTTAGGGGATGCAGGACTATATGCAAGAAAAGTTTCATGTTTTTCAAAAAATGTTTCAATTCCAATAGTACTTGGAACCCCAGAACATGAAATACGAGTGCGGTATTCAGATGATAATATCTTTTCACTTTTAAAAATAATAAAACAAAATTATAAATAAATCAGCAAAACATATTTCCAAAGTAAACGATAAAATAAAAAATCCAATGAAGTATTATGTATTTTGTACTGCATTCAATTGAAGAGTAAAGTAGATAATATTATATCTGAGTCTTATCAATTCCTATGCGGAACATAACCGGGTAATGCTTTTGGGGTTTTTTTGATTGTGATACGCATTCGACAGAGTCAAACTGTCAGATTCCCCTTTTTTGTCATAACGGATGATGATTCCGATATTTACAACCACCTATGCTATTTAATAAATTAACTTCTTCCTTCGAATTTGATAGATAAAAAGAGGTATATAAATATTTTATGAATTTAAATGAAAGAGAAGACGGAATTAATTGATTTTGTGTCTGACTTTATTGACTCGAATTCCCAAGAATTCTCTATAGAAATTAACCAATTCTTATACAATAATCCTGAAACAAATTTCGAGGTATGTGTGACACACATGGTATTATTAATGAATATATCAAAGTAGGAAACTAACAGGAAATTAGGAATTTAAAGCACATGCGCATCTAACTGATTATTTGGAAAAAAAACCTGGGTGGGAAGTTACTAGATCTGCGTTCGGAATTGATACCTCTTTTGTGGCTATCTTCAAGCATAAACCTAAAGAAAATTCCAAAGTAATTTCATTCAATGCTGAATACGATGCGTTGCCTGAAATGGGACACGCCTGTGGCCACAATCTTATAGCTACTGGTGCAATTGCTGCAGCAATCACTTCAGCTGAGGCAATGAAAAAGTTTAACATCGCAGGAACAATAAAACTCTTTGGTACGCCAGCTGAAGAAGGTGGTGATGGAAAAGGCAAAATGCTTAAATCAGGCGCATATGACGATGTTGATGTTTCCATAATGCATCATGGTAATTCCGAAAGCCCAGGTCAAGCCTTCGTACGTACTGCTGCGTCATTTAGATTTAATATAGAGTATTTTGGAAAGGGCGCCCATGCTGGTGCTTGCCCTTGGCAGGGAGTTAATGCTTTAGATGCGGCGTCTATTTTTATGCACGCTTCTTCCTTACTAAGACAACAGTTTGAAGCAACTGATAGAATTCATTTTATTGTGACTGATGGTGGTGCTGCTGCAAATATTATACCAGATTACACTAGAATTAAAGGTATTATTAGGGCAATTAATAGAACTAAAATGGCTGAATTAAAGAAAAAACTCGTTGGCTGTGTTAAAGCTGGTGCATTAGGTTCGGGCTGTACATACAAAATCAATTATGAAAATGAATATAACGATATGATTTCAAATGTGCCTTTAACAAATTCTTTCCGAAAATTTTTCAATGGATTTTGCGAGAAGGACAATGAGCCCAAGTTGAGGGACTTTTATAGCGAAAAAAATCTTGTTAGCTCAGCTTCAACTGATCAAGGAAATGTATCATGGAATATTCCTTCTCTCCATTCTTTTTTCTGCATCAAGTCTGATAAAGAACCTCACACGATCGAATTTGGTGAAGCAGCTGGTAAGGAATCTTCTCATGTTGCTTGTCTAAAGTCAGCTAAATGTATGTCTTTAACTGGATTGGAAGTATTGTATGATGACGAGTTTTATACAAAGATTCATTCGTCATGGAAAGCTGATATTGAAATTTTGGAACCTAAAAATATAGACTTGAATACGTTAGATGAAGAGTTCACATACAACTAGTTGAATCTCTCTGAAAAATTGATTCACATGTTTAGAAATTCATTCCGTAATTTTATGTAAAATTCAGATTATAATTTCTTAAAGTGCACATCTACTTGCAAATATGAGCATATTTAATAATGGAAATTGTAGTATAATATACGAGTACGTATAAATTCATAAATCCATTAGAATTGTATGTTTCAGTAACATAATAAGACTCTTCTTTATCACCTGTCACTTATTAAACACTGATAACCCTTGTTTATCACACTCGCACTTAAAGGCCCGCAAGGTACATTTGTTTCCTGGAGATGGGGGATAAACAATTTGTACTTTGTGTATGGTATAATAGTGGTCTGATGAGAAATTTCTAGTTATCGTAAAGCTATCACCATAGATGATTTTGGCAGTCGATGAATTACGGTGAATATATAATTATTTCCTAGGGGCCAGAATATCAAAAAACAAAAACACAATGTATAGGAACCTCATCGGATACCCACTTATTAGAGACATTAATGCTATCTGATTTTGGCATAGATAGATGAATAGTCATCAATTCAAATAGCTACCTTGGTATGCTCTCAATGGATCAAAGATATAAATACTATCTTAATGTCATCTTGCGCTTATCAATTCGGAGATGCGCGTGGACGGCACTACGCAATGATGATTTGGTGGCATGAACCCTTTAAACCAAGCTGACTGTTTTAAGACTCCTTTAAGGATGAGAAGAATAAGCCTAATATACATATGGCTACAAATAAAACCTTTAAGAAGATTCTGCATAGTTACTCGTTTAAGAAATAGGATCATTAATGACATAATATCATTCCTAGTTATACTAAAACAATATCGCAAGAGAAATTGGAGTACTTTGGAGTTTCTTCTAGATTTGACGCAATCCCCAACTGTAAATCGATTGTATGCGTTAATTCCAAAGCGCCACAAGCACTACTGTAATTGGGACCAAGTAGTATAGAGCTCAAATTAATTTTTTCGTTGCTGAATAGTTTCTCGATCGGAATTTCCCATTCTCTTATAAGAGGATCATTGATATTTGGAAAAAAATCTATTAAGTCAAAAGCCAATTCGTAGCCGTAATTTTTTTTGAATAATGGAGTAGTTCTTCTCACTACCCCCCTGTGACCATGCGCGAATATAGAAAAGTTGCTAGTAATTGAAAGCGAAAAATCTGTAACAATAAAAGAGCCCAATTGTGACGATTCACCACAATACAATATAAAGTTGGGTCTCATATCTTCAATTCGACTACGGATAAACAATTTCAAAGTTTCAGATATATTTGTCGAATTATTGAACAATCTGGGAAGTAGTACCAACTCTACTTCTAATTTAACATTACCCACTAATTTGTCATAAATTTCAGATCTATAACTCTTATTTAAAATTCCTCTAATTGCCCTTGTATTTCTATGTGACTTCTTAAGTGGGTTTGAAATTGATTTAAATGATGAAATTGCTTTAGAATCCTTCGGTTCATAATTATCAACATAAAGTTCTAAATACCTTTCATCCACAATTCTTTTCAATTTAGATCTCCATACAACTGCCTGCTTTGGTATCTCTAAGGAATTCCTAAGCACCGTTATCAAATTTTCATTTCCAAATGGTTGAAAGTTTAAAAATTTCTGGCATCTACTTGAACTACTAAATCGTGAATCAGGCACAACCTCAGCCTCTAATGAATAGAAGGCACTTAAAATCATAGAATCTCCTTCTATTCTATTGATAGTTGGAGGTAATGTAGTGAACTTGCCACATTCACGACATGTTGCTGACAGAGGGAATACGAAATCGAAAGGATACTCTTTTACTTCATCCTCGGCAAACTTCTCTAGGTTCAATGTAGAATTCAATTTCTCAGTCTCCATAAACAAATGGTGTGGCTCCTCATGATAAATGTATTTTGTTCTTGTATTAGTATCAATATTCCCATTTTCTTGAGTATACGTGTCTCTAATGACGATTCTTTCGATATAAGTCGTATGTAAAATACCTGAGAATCGTAAGCTTATTGCTCGAAGGTCAAAACTTTTTTTCGCTTTTATTTTTAAAGAACCTGCTACTTTATCATTTGGCTTGTATATGATGCTATCATCAACTGATATTTGTAACTGTACTTTGGAAAACATGGTTTGCTCAAAAACTAAGTATTCAAAAGACTCTTGTATTTTTGTTATTAAATGTGTCTCTAGCATGACCCATACTTCTAAAAATAAATAATGGTAAATGTACAAGATAATCTTTCTTCGCGTCGCATATTGATACGCTTAGATCGGGAAAGGCTCATACCATATTTACCATAACCGCATTCAATCTATTTGCTGCGAAAGCGCAAATACATGTCTTGTTTGTTCACTTCCCACTTGTGGTACCTGTGCTTAATGGACGACTATGACTAATATATGTACGAATGGTGTGTTATTGACACGCTTACTCCTATTTGCATATAGACAAATAAGCAATGCATGCTAGACACAACATACCCGCATACTTTTAGGTGAAGTAAGCCTTTATTCGAAATGAGTGAGACAATTAAGTTACAACCGAGCTCACCACGTAAACAAAATTGAAGCACCTCCTACCTGCAACGAACTAAGAAGAGTAGTCGTTTAAATTCTTAATATCGATACCCTTCAATTGGAACGTCATGTTCATGCAAAGATAGTCCGGTCATGCACAACATGCCATAGTTCCAAAATAGAGTATTATGAAGTCGAGAACACCAACTTGGGCATAACTATTCCAATTGAGAATTATCTATCCTCAATATGAACTTACTATTATTCAAATTTTATTTTTTGACATCAAATAAGGTGCACGTTCTGTAATGCATAAATACCTCTTACCCGAAATCTGATAAACTTCTATGTGAATATATATGCAATCACCGATTGAGCCCGCTGTATTCGGACTAAAAAAAGATATTCATACGACTATCCGGTCAAGTGCCTAAATATTTATGGTTCGAATGTTTATGCAATTGATAGTTTACCAGTTAATATATATAGATAAAGTCCACACCTTCAATTTAAAATTAGGCGAAAGAAAGTTTCAACAAATAAACTCTTAGAAGACTTTAGTTCCAAATTGACGAATGGGTCGGTGAAAAAGTTCAATAACGATACGTTTGTGAGGCTCTAGAAGCTAAAGAGTATCCACTTTAACGAAATTCCTCGTGATGTGAGATATTCTCAGCAGTTGAAAGCTTTAAGTTCGGCCTTTGAGTATAGTTTGTCAACTGAAGGAAAAAAGAACAGGTTGAAGATACTCGATTTGTTTCAATGTATGATCCAATTATGTTTAAATTGATCCTTGAGCATTCACCAATAGATAGCACATTATATTTGGATTTATTAAGGAAGTGCATTTTGACGTTACAAGATAACCGTAGAGAAATACAAGCGGAATACGATTCTGTTTTGCTGCCATATGGATGGGGAGATAAGCTCAAGCCAGGGCACTTGAAGACCAGAAATTTTTGGTGATCAATATTCCAGAAATAGTTTGCTTGCTGGTGTGTTATTCACAGGTGCTGTTCCGGTCGTCGCTCTTGGAGTTGCGACTGGTCTTAGTAGACAGTGTATCGACGAATTTTCGTGTTCATTTTTACTCCGATTTCTTTTAAGACTTCCAAGGATATGATCAGACCATTTTCTCTAAGATTATCCCTTTGTCTGAGGTAAAAAAATATCTAAAGTGTACAAGAGCACGATGAGAGAAGGCATCTAGAAGGTGATTTTTTTAATTTTATATACCATGCAGGTGATATAGAGACATACCTCTCTTACCGGCTGTTATCAACCGGCAGACATATCATACGAAAATTTATAGAGAATTCTTTCCAAGCATCACCTCTTTGATAACATGTCAGTAGAAAGAGGTACAGAAGTACTTGGTTTGACTATTAATACCTTATTTATTTATTACTGAACATAGATCTGTTGATACTTCCTACTAAACATGCAGCCAAGAAAGCAACGATAAAGGTTGTTAGCTTTTTTTTCGTTACCAGATAGCATATTTTATGTAATTATTTAAGTGGGAAATTGAAAGACTGGAATAGACCTAATCCTTGTAAATTACGCCCGATCATAACAGCTATTTATACAATTACTGCAAAGTCGCACTCGTGATAATATTCTGTCATTCTGGTAATTTGAGCGGCATGCTTACATTTCTGTATTACGCATTGATTATAAAATTGCTACAGCAACAAGAAGATCGTACATGAAGCTGACTTTTAAAATTTCACGTAAACATGGAAATTATTGAAAACTTTTTTGAGCTCCAGCGTTTTTTACATTATTTAACCTAATTAGCAATATTAAAACTGGAACTGATAGTTTTGCGAGAGATAAAATATAAACCTATAAATAAACCTAGCTCGCGCTGTAACTTTTCCAAAAAATTACTTTCAATTTGTTTTTTGCAACATTCATAACCAATACATGATGATTTCACAGAAAGAAACGCACTTCATATTTATTTCTATCACCATGAATGACCGGGCCCGTCAAAAATAAAAACCCATACTTTCCAGAATTGGCGTCCTGGATGAAGAAATCATATTTGATAAAAACTCCACTACTCTATTTTATACTTTTTCGCAATAAACTCTCACAAACTCTACAAATCTCAACCCACCACAAATTTCTGTGTAATTAAATAGTGTAAGTTTTTTCATAATTAACTCGCATTGAAACGTTATTCTTTTGAACTTATTCTCCCCAAAAATGCTTTGCAAGTGCAGCTAAAGAATTGGAATTAGAACAGTGACAAGGAATAGTATCATTGTTCTCTGATTAATGGCAAAATGTGGCCAGATCTTTCACTACTCGATCACAACTGGATAACGCAAGATCTGCGTCACCTGGAATCGGCTTTGGAACCCCTTTCTGAAAAGAAGAAATACATTTATAGCAGATCCTCATATTTAGAAGTTTAGAATGGTAGTTTTCTAAGCCTGATTGACAATTTTGAATCAAATAAGCAACAAATAATTTTTTCATCTGCGCCTCGTATTAGTTCCTAAATAAAGCATTATTGCAACTTAATGGCAACCATACCAAAAGTATCAGTTTTCTAATTTTTCCGGCATTTCCAGTATTTCCAGTATCTCCAGAATCTGGGTTTGTTTTCAGAGGGGCTTCATTCGGACAAAATGTTAAGAAGGCTTTGGCCAAGTACGAGGATTTTCAGGAAGAAATTATAAAACAAAATACAGCATAGCTAAATTTTTGAATAAATGAATTGGTTCAAAATTGCGAGTACTTGAGGTAAAGGGAAAGTTTGTGGTATAATAATGAATTTTACCCTTAATATATAAATATTTACCCAAGTGATTTATCGGAAAGTTTATAAGTACTTTTTCTTCTTGAATATTAAACAAAGAGGCAACAGGCAGGATATAGCTTAAACAGTCATAAATCTAATTGATCAGTTTGATGTAGGTTCTAGGACGTTCTCGGAAAAGAAACTTCTACCTGTCTGAGAATTAATGCCAATGATGTTACCTCTAGTGTTGGAATATTCACATATTGTATACTGGCCCCACTCATTGTCACAGATGACTCTGGCACAACCAACTTGACTAGTAGATTTCCAGACTACTTGAGTAAAGTGTCCTGTAGTTTCGTTGAAACCAGGGTTACCAAAGTTGTATAATTCAATTTCGTCGTACCAAACATCGACAGGATCATAACCACCCAGGTATCCAGCAGCCAAGTTTTCACCATATGGTCCACCTGAATGAATTAATGCAACATTTTCACAGGAGAACGAAGAGTTGGCATATTCTGCAGCATATAAAGCTAAACTATCATTCCACTCTAACGATTTAACCCCATGAAGGGCCCTCTTTTCATTATGAGCATCTAGAATATCAGCTTCAAACTCCGTAGAAGTGGTGGATCCGGAAGACGTTGAGGAAGAAGTTGAGGTAGGAGAGGTGGTAGGAGAGGATATTTCACACTTTAAATTATTAGCCATAACCCATAAATCTGAAGACCCAGTATCAATTAAAACACCCATTTCGTCGTTATTAGATCCTACTTTTATATTAGCCAAGTAAAATGTTTGCCTATTCCGTAATTCCATCTCTGTAGAATCTCTCTTAGAGACATGCTGCCTTTCATCGAATGATATATCTCTTTTATCATTACCTCTTAAAACCTTAAAGTCTATCCTAAATAAACCTGATATTTCTTCAAGCTGTCCCATAGAAAATACAAGCAACCCTAGCAAATTATAAACTTTCATTTTTCTTACTTAAGACACTGCAAAACAATTCGGAATTGCAATGTTTTTATACATACACCTAAGAATATTAATATCTTTGTAACAAATACTCTCATTTTATTTCATTTTTGCACTGTTGAAGTAATGTTCCATGAGAGGCCGAAAGACTCGAGTTACCCTACAGATAACGAAAATTGATAGTGTCTAAGCCTTCTTCTGTACATCGGAATATTATATTATTGTATCAAGCTTTGCAATTATGAGTGACCCTTTGTAATAATTTTCTTGGCTTTAAGACCTAATGCTAACTTTTAGATATCCAGGGTTAACAATTCAGCTATAAATATAGTGGTATATATGCTGTAATTCTTGGAAAATTAAAAAAATAAGTATTCTAAACAATTTAAGGATATTTCATTCATGTTGCATACTTCTATTGGCTTTGCATAGTTAATGCAAGACAAAATATTAGATTGTACATAAATAGATACTATTAATAGTGACTTCTGTATGTATGCTAAAGTCTCATTTATTATAATATATATATTTAAGCTGAATGTGTATTGTCAGAACAACGTACATACTGAATTTTAATCTTAAAATATTGTTGCTTCCTTTCTGTATTCTGAGCTGAATTTGCGTGTTCTTTTCTTTTCAGAAGAGACAGCTTTTTCATATCTCCTATGCACATTGGCCATGGATTTATTTCTGAGTAATGTAGTAGGACTACACTTAAATATCCTTCTCAATCAAGTTAAGTCTTTACGTTTTAGTTCATCAATTTTTTAATTGTAATAGATGGCGAATATACAGCTTGCTGCAAGTTTCAACATACGGTACTTACTAGAAAAAGGAGAACCAAATGTGTTGCTTATTGAACAACATCATAGTATTTTT